ATTGTTTACATAACTCGAACCTAACACATCGACAAAGCGGCAGAAGTAACCGCCCTACGAATGACTAGAGCAATTTACTGCCCAATGACCTTGGAGATGCTTAGCTACGGTAATAACAGGTGGCCGCAGTAAGCTGACCAAATGAACGAGCAGACTGACTATGTAGAAAGGGAATAGGTGGATTGCAGGTTGATGAATAAGCTAAACTAAAGACAATAGTAATAATAAGTCAGCGATCAAGGGGGAGGATGCCATTATTTATGGTGTGGCTTACTTCTTAAGTAGTATCCCAAACGGGGAAAACGGCAGTGCTCAATGTACTGCAGGTTAGAATAATTCAAATGATTTTTCACACTTCGTACACCGAATAAGAAATCACCAACCACACCATATCTAAAGACACAATGCACAAAGCGCCGAACCATAAAAGCAAGCAAATTTAAAAGCAATGAGTGAAAAAAATTACAAGTTGAGAAAGGCACTAGACTGCTGGTGAGAATATTGTTAACAGAAAGCAAAGACATTTACTTCTGAGATAAAAGTCCAGCAAGTAATTTCAGACGATGAAGCCGTTCCAATTCAACGCATCCACCAATAGATTGCTGTCCTATGAAGATTCTAGGTACCTAAGGTGGTAAATATAATATCGTTCAGTGAATGCTTACAGTTCTGGCGCCAGTAATGACCTCCAAATAATCCTGAACCTGAGCACAATCAGATCGTTTCCCAATATCAATGATATGCAAATCGTAAGACGTAAATGAACGACCTATATAAGACCGAAGAATTTCGATCGCCTTGACGCAGTAAGGGCAATAGCTTTTAACAAACAATACAGCATGAGCTGACTTTATCTCTTTTTGTACATAGGCGGCGATTTCAGGAGACCTAAACTTTCAAACCGATTTAAAAATTACGATGGTGACGAAACGAAGGTCCCCATTGCGACGGCGATCCCAAGAATGTATTTCCCAACCTCAAGGTCGAGCAGGGACCACGCTGCGTGAACATCCATGATAAAAATAATAATCTTAATAAGCTCGACAACATTTTCAAGCATATAAAACTAAACCAGAATCAAAATTTTATGGTTAAACGGACGAATATATGTTTGCGGATCTACCTCACATAGGTAGATTGGCAATGCAGTAATGAAACCATGTACCGCCTCCTTTTCGAATGCCTGGGCAAGAAGTAGCCACAGACGACCAGATGCTTATACGCCTCCCATCCTGTATCGACACATTCATTCAGCCATGCATTATGGCTCCAACAATATGGGCCGACCTAGTATTCGATGACCGATTTTTCGAAATGTATGTTTTAATATATATAATTGCTCAACGATTTTGCACTCAACCTAGTAGAAAAATGAGTATAAAAACTAAATTCCTTGGATGTCAAAAAGAAAAAATAAGCGACAAGAAGCCTTAATTTGTATGACCACTTAACAAAGATTTGTCTATGGACTCCCGG